ACAAGGGACAAATGCACAAAGACACTTACTCTCAACAAAGAATTTCAAGTGTTACAAAATATCATGCCATAAGCTTGCCCTTATTTTAATTCGCCGCCTATTCAAGAACATTCGATTGGAGATCCCATAAGGACTTTTTAAGCTTGTAATATAGGCTTAGGGAAGGGTAGGATAAGCATTTGGGATACAAGTGACTACACCCTCCTTGAACGCTACTCACATTTATCTTTTCTTTTTGCACTTTGCTTCTTTGTAAACCACATAGTCCTTATTGACATCTAGTTACCAACATAGAACTACCTTCAAGTACCTCTCTAATTTTCTCAAGATTTCATATATTTTTATTTTTATTTTTACTTTATACTTTTTGTTTTTTTTAAAAAGAATTTTGATGACGTTCAAATCCACTACTGAAAAGTAAATGGACACGATTGCATGCAATATAATATACCGAACTATGAGTCGGGGTCGAATCCCACAGAGAATAATATATAGGCGATTAGGCGTGTAAGAGAATTATCAATTATTATGCTGAACAAATACTTAAAAGGGTTTTGAGAAAATATTTATGTCTAAATGCGAAAATATAAACTAACCTAGAAAGAAAGTAAAATAATCAATGGTTACAAGCATGGATGCAATGGGAGTTACACTTAAGTAACGATCCAATGTATTTTACGATTTTACAAATATGAGCGAGTTTATGTTAATTAGCCTCGGGTAATAATTCTACATTAGCTTCTTCCGAAGACTAACAAGACTTCCTAATTCAATTATTCCTAAAACAATTAAGAGATTAAGCACACCCGAATATGGCTACAAGTAGTTCAATCCTATCCCTAGATAGAATCTATAAAGTGAGGGTTAATGCCTCAAGTTCTTGTTTATTAATCTTTCCCAATCTCAAATTATCTTTCCCAAAATTAATTCGAAATGAATGGGCGAGTCCTAGGGTTAGCTGATCCCTTTGAAAACATTAAAGAATAAGAATAATTAAAAAAACAATAATTCACTTCTTAATAAATAAAAATCGTTTAATACATAAGCACAACAAGATATTTAATATACTCTTTAAATATGAATATTCCCATAAACAAGATTTAAGTATTGAAAAAGATACTGCACACTTAGATATTTAATATAAAGCAAGGAAATGGAGAAAGGAACATAAATGGGTAAGAAATTCTCAACCAAAAGCTTCAAATCATCAAGACCCAAGTGTGTGTTCAAGAACCCTAGCTCCAAAACTTGTGTTCTCTCTCAAGAGATGTTAAAGATGTGCAGATACTGGCCAAAGATGTGCCAAAGATCTGTTTCCAATAATCTAGGTCATGTATTTGTGGGTTTGGAATGGAGATAATGTGAAATGCCCAAGTTGCCCATGTTTGATGCCCATTGGCCGCACCTGCGAAATAAGCCATCGCAGGTGCAACTCCACAAAAGCGGACTTTCATACGCAGCTGCGAAACCTGTGGGGAGTCTCCTTCTCCGCAGATGCGGAACATGTCGCTGCGGAAACGATTCTGCAAATGCGGATTATCGACCGCAGATGCGATCCCAGCTGGAGATTGAGATTTCCACAGATGCGGCCTTCCACTCGCAGATGCGAGTTCACATAAGCGCACAGTGTTCCGCAGATGAGGAATCACTGAAGGAATTTGCACTTTTTTTACTCTTTTTTGCTCAATTCAACTTCAATTGAATTCAACTCTCTTCATGGCATCATTTACCTGAAAAACTAGCAATACACACTATAAACAACCTCATATTAAAATTAACGGATGCAAAAACTAAAGAAAAGAGACTAAAATAAATGGTAAAATCACCACTCATCAAGGATGTTGGACGTCTTGCTGTTCATGTATTTGAGCATGTCATGCCTCATTTCAAACACTTTTCTACCTTGTGTTCTGATGGTGAAATGGGAATGGATCCTTATTAGCATACAAAGGAGTCAAGGGAAAAGGTAGATGAGCCTTATATTCTGAAGTTCTCGAAGACATCTAGGCAAGGTGACACTCCTCAGCTGAAAGCCAAAAAGTGCATAAAGAATCATTTAATATTTGGCTCGCAACCATCTGTATCTCCCCAAGAGCATGATCATAGAGCAGAATCAAAACTTAGGATCCAAATTTATAAGTTCGAAGTTGAGGCAAAAAGTAATTCACGTCGTGCCGCAACGTTAAATTAGGCGCTTATTGGCAGGCAACCCAATTTTATTGCTTTTTTTTTTCTAAATTAGTTTTTCTTCTTGTGTTATTTTTGCTAGTGCCATTTTTTTATTTTCTAGGAGCATGGGACGTTAAGCCATTGGAAGGAAATAAAAGTAAGCTAGATGGGTGGAACTAAGTGTAAGGTACCTGTATAAAGGACTATGTTTGGGAGAAGTCTGAGTACCCCATGAACGGCTAATGCTTCAGCCTTTGGCCTTCCAACGAGTTTTTTATCCTCTTATCATTTGTGGTGTGCATTGAGGACGATGCACAATTTTAAGTGTAGGGGGAGGAGATTGTCTGGGTAATTTTGATATTTTATTTGTGTTAGTTTAACTGAAGAAAAAATATTTAAGGATAAAAAAAATTAGACTTTTTCCGACAATGGATCTCGTGGATAGCTTTCTTGAGGGATTAAGATCCACTGAAAAAATCCAAATAAATACTTTATTTTTAGATAGTCGTAGGTAGATAATAACCCCCTTGGTTTTTCTTTGGGCATCAGTTCTTTTTCAAGGTATGTAACTTGAACCGTATATTTTTATTTATAGTAAATCGAGAGAAGAAAACTTGAGTGCTCCTATGTGCCTTTTGACCTGTTTGATGCTAGCATAGATATGCCTTATCATACAAATTACCATCACGGCATGTTTTGATGAAATTTGATGCCGTAAAAAGATTGAATAGCCTGTCTTTAACACCTTCTCTCAGTTTCTTAACTCATTGTTCATGTAGTGCTTATTGCTTAATATTTCTTAACTATGTGATTACTGGCTTTAACTCGAGAGTTGTAATAGAATCATCCCGACTGGGGTCATGTGCATTGTGTGATGTGAGGTCTTGATTGTAATCTGTGCTATCCTGTGTTAGTCTAGAACTTGCCCTATGCGTTAGTTGAAGCAAATTAAGTGAGCTTTGTGAGTCTAGGAGATGATGTAGGCATTTCTTTGATTGTCCATTGAGCTAGTATGCCACCATAAATAAAATTATCCTTAGATAACCTATTTGAGCCTATAAGCCTTTTCTTTGGCACCCACATTACAAGTGGATTCCCATTTTGTTCTTAATTAAATTTTTTTGAACCTTTACTTCCGTAAACACTTAAGTTGCTAAGAAAGTAAGGTGAGAGTGGGGTAGCTTTTGAGTGGAACTATAGAAAGGCCAAAAAGATATATATATATATATATATATATATATATAGAGAGAGAGAGAGAGAGAGAATACACCTCCTATTACTCTTAATCCGGGCTAGTGAATGTATAGTTATGCTTAATAAAGAATGGACAAATTGTATATTGTTTCGTGCAGTGCTTAATTAAGCCATAAAGAGTGTATTTGAAAGTTAAGTGTAGTGATTGAAGTGCTTAGGAGGGTTAGTCACTATACCCAAGAATTTATCATACCTACCCCTTAGCATACATTATAACCCATAAAGACCTAATTGATCTCAGACTTTGAAAGCTTAGATTAGTAGAGACATACACTACGGGCAAGCCTATGGTATGACCTCCAGATGCACATGGATTTTCTTGTGAGAGTGAGCGATTGATTTTTGTTCATAATGTCCTTGACTTACATTTGAATGTATCTTTGACTTATATTTGAATGTGTGGACTACATAGTCTCTTGCTCTTTGGAGAGGGTACGTGATTCCATGACGGATAGCTAACATTATTAAACTTCTCTTATTTGGGTGAGTGTGCAAGTCGAAAGTGCTTATTGACAACGAGTCGGTCTTTGATGTTGGGTGGCATATTTTTTGAGTGTTTTGAATTGTTCAATTATATTTTGGAATGTGAAAGTTAGGAATTGCTTGAATGCATTTGCAATGGCTTAATTGTCGGTATCAACCATGGTCATAGGTGTTGATAACAATACGATAGGGGATTCAAATATTACTAAAGAAAATCAAGAAACGTGTGGAAGCTAAAACAAAGTAGAGAAAAAAAAGAAGACAGGAAATTAAAGATAGATTGAATTCAAGATAGAGTTTCTTGAATTTAAGAAGTCTATTCTTGAAGTTGAATCCTAAAAACAACAATTAGCTAACGAAGAACTAATCGCCTTTGATAGAGAATTAAAAACAAGAGATAAATTGTGAAACCCGACCCTTTAGAATAACAAGAACAATAAGCCTAAACTTATCACCTTTCTTGAATACCTAGAAGTGATCTATGATTTCTAAGAATTCATCTTACCGCCTTAAGTTAAGTCTTGAAGGTTGAAGAATAAATCACTACTGGAAAATTTACCTATGGCTACGCATGGAAAACCGTTGCAACAGATAGGTAAACTGTTGCCATAGATGTATTGCAACGGTTCAGCGCCCGTTCCACAAGCTGGCGTGCCTATAGAGCTTATGGAACGGGTTTTGGAACGGTTCAGATAACCGTTGCTATAGTATAGTCTATCGCAACGGTTTTCGCTCTTCCTGCTGGAACGATTATTCTTATCTACTGCAACGGTTAATTTCCGTTACCATAACGTTAAATGCAACGGTCATTAATCGTAACTATATCTATTAAACCGTTACGGTTATTATAGAAATGGCAACGATTTCTTTAAGATATTGCAACGGTTGAACTACCTATTGCAACGGTTTTTAGATTATTTTGGAACGATTTGCATGTCCTATGGAAACTGTTATGTTAGCTATTGTAGCAGTTTAATTGAATTGAACATATTGCCCCCTGTTGTAAATAAAGATTTACATATATATATACAATAAACTATAAAACACTAAAATTTATATAAATAATAAAATAAAACTATTCATAATCCAAATTGTCCAACAAGCTAATAATAAATCCATAGATAAAATGTTACCAAGTACATACATTTGATATTTCAAGAGTTAAAAGTTTTAAAATGTTTTGATAACAAACATTCCTAGAAACCGCCACATGCATCTACAACAATCAACAATTCAAAATTCTCTTAAGTATCTTCATCACTGCCTCCGTCTTCCATTTCTTCATCTACTCCACCTACAAAAGAGTATAAATAAAGTCATTATCCCTGAGAAAAGTATTAGAAAGATCACAGCTTTATATTGTATATACACACACAAACAATCTAATATAACTTCATCCCAGAAGCTGAAATCAACAGAGTAAGATTCCTAAACATTTACAAACACCTTCAAGCTTTATTGAAAAGGACACAATATTTCCACGCCCAAATAACCATAAGATCAGTTAATGCACATACACACACACCCCTCTGATATAACTCCATCCCAGAAGCTAAAATCAACAGAGTAATATTTCCAAACATTTACAACACCTCCAAGATTACAGGTTTACTGAAAAATACACAATTATATGACATCCAAACAATCAAAAATCAGTTTAAGCACAAATATACACACACAAAACTGATATAACTCCACCCTAGAAAGTAAAATCATGAGAGTAAGATTTCTACTCCAAGTGATAGACTTCTGTGACATCCGTGGGCAATTTGAAGCACAGGACACCTCAATTGAGCATGCAACAGTTTATGATTTCACTATATTTGCACGTTTTCAGCATTTGGAAGTTGTGGTAATTTTCGTAAATGACCACCAACTGAACAATCAATAATCAGTTTAAGCACACATATATATTTTTGGAACACCTCCAAGATCACAACTTTATTGAAAAAAGACACAATTATATGACACCCAAACGAGCAAAAATCAGTTTAAGCACATATATATATTTAGAACGCCTCCAAGAACACAAGTTTATTGAAAAATGACAGAATCCCTCTTTCTCCAAACTTCTCAACTATCACTATCTCTTTCCTTTTTTTTTGTTCCTAATAGGAGTGATGGATTCTGGAAATAGTGGCAGTGTGCAATCTTCAAGTGGTGGTGGTGATGAAGAGTATGATTCACATGGGGGCTCAATCTCAACTTTCTTGAATTCTTCAGCTCATTTTGGTTCAATCTCATCAAATCCACTCCCACAATTTCTTTCTCACCAACCCACTCTCTTTGATCCTCCTCATGACTCACAAAATTTCAACTCCAATTTCCAAGATTCAGCAAATTCTCTTTACAATAATGATCTTCTCTGGCCTAAATCATTGGGATCCGATAACAATTTTAACAACTTTGGAAACTTAAATTCCTCATCAACAAGTGCTACTAATCATGCGATTTTGGGTACTAATACTCAAGTTCCAAACTATAATTCAATACCAATAAAATCAAGCATTGTTCATCAGCCTAATGTGGGAAAAAATCCAAAGAAACGAAGCAAGGCATCGAGGCGGGCGCCAACAACTGTTCTAACAACTGACACTATAAATTTTCGACAAATGATTCAAGAATTCACAGGGATCTGCTTATAAATCACATTACATTTACAACTGTTCTCACTTTTATTTATACCCCTATTCCATCTCTCTACTGATTGTCACTTTCAGTGAGTGAATCAGTAAGTGTGAAACAAGGAGAAGACCAAGAATATAGAGGAAAACAGGGCAGAGAAGAAGAGTTCAAAGCAATTAATGAAAATACATGGGCTGCAGTAAGCTTATAGTAAGTGAAAGGTATGTCAATATTATTTGTGAGAGCAACATGATAATATTTTAAATCAAAATGCCAAATGGGATTTTCCAAGATGGCAGAAATGATATGACAAAAAGAGATGAATGAATCAGTCAAAAAGAAGAGTAGCAGAGTCATCAGACAATGGCTGAATTGCTGCAGGTATCAACAAATATCAACAAGGATTCTTGCACAACCAAAAACAATGTTAATGAACACAAGAATATGACCAAAATTTGAGACTAACAAGTCATTGCTCACCCCTAGTCCCAGTAATCCAAGAAGCAAATGGGCCGAAGTAATTTCCAGATAATTTAGCACTCCAATAGTAAAGCTCAGCTGAAGTCACAGCTGCCTGGATTAATCACGATACAAAGTGTTAGGAAAAAATTGATGACATATAATTGCTTTTCAGGGAACTTCTATTAGAATAAGATATTACACCTCAAAAGATGTTTAAAATGTCTAGCAGAACAAATAATCAACTAATGTAACCAATAAGAGACGTCGCACACAGCTATTTCATCCTAGCACACCTCCCTACAACTAGCTACATTGTGCAGTTTAGTCGCAAGAATATGATAGTATGAGAAAACTGATGGCATTATACATGTATAAAGCATGTAATTAACACACATATAGAACAAACCCATATGCATTTATTACATCTAAAAAATACTAGAGATACAGATATCAAGATTGCAACTGAAACTTTTCACTTTTTTTATATACATATGTAAAGTAGGACCACAAATAGAGAGATACCCATGAAGAAAGAAACAAAGCAGTGCCGGCCTACTGTTAAAATGTTTCTGTTGTTCTCTGTAATTTTCCAGTTTAAACTTTTTCTCTTTTCTTAAGAGAGTAGCTTGATGAGTCCACTTCCTATTTTTCTACATGTTTCTAAGTCTGCTTTGTGTAATCTATGGGCATATCCCTTTCAGTTATGCTTCCCTTATATTAGGTATAGTTGTTACTACTAAAGAAATTGGAGAAAGAATCAGCTTCTCTGTCTTGTCTTGTTCACCATTTTAAGAAAAAGTTGTTTACTTGTTACTGCTCACTATTTCTCTTCTTGCCATCATGTGGATTGACTAGCAATTTGACCAGCAACTCAACTCATATAGTTTTATTTGGATTTTAGGATCATATATCAGGAGAGCTCAGCGAAACCAAGTCGGAGGAGAAAGATGATCAATTTACTAAGGGACCATAGCTTAATGATCAGGTGTTAATAAGGAAAGCTAAGAGATCAGCTTAAGGATCTTAATGAGTTATTAGCTAATTACAGAGAGATGTAAGGCTAATCAAGAGAATAAACAATCCAAATTCTCCCCGAGATGAAACTATCTGTCTCTATTGACGAAATGCAATACCTCACGGGGAGAATGACTATTCTCAGTCCCTTTAGAAAGAAGTGCCATTTTTCAGAGGCCTTTAAGAATGTGGATGACTTCCAATTAACAAATGGATGACACTGCTTGCATAAACTCACTGTAACCAACTCCATCTCTTCGACAGCTTGATTTCAACGAACACAAGTTCTAATCATTTTCAGTTGCACGCGGCTTATATCATCCATTTAAACAACAAGCCCTTTTCATTCACTATCAAAATAATGTGAAGGAAACTTACAGAAACACCAAAATTTAAACAAAAACACAACCCAGAAATTTAAACAAAAACAAATTAAAAAAACTGCTAAAAATTAAGCCTTCAACACCCACACGAGTTAAGATATCAAATTAGATTTGCGATGGCCATTATGCATACTTAATTGCAACAAAGAACAAGAAATTAGAAATCAAAACTCGAAAGGAGAGAGTTGTTTACCGATTTTCAGATTTGAAGAAACTCTAAAGGATTAATTAGCACGCCGCCTCTGTTGTTGAGCCTGGAGTCCGAAATTAAGCCTTCCAATTAACGATTTTCAGATTTGGAGAAACTGTTGATGGATGAGCTTGGATCGAGTCCGAAATTGCCTGGAGGAGATCGAGTCCGAAATTGCCTGGAGGAGATCGAGTCCGAAATCGCCTTTGTATCTCCTCGTTATTTCCGATATAAAAACTAAAATTAGGGGTTTAGTATTTTATTAGATATAAAAGCTAAAAAATAAAAATTGAAAATCAGATTGTGGGCCCCTTTAATTTTAGCGGGTATAGAAAATTTGGGTGAAAAATAAGGAGGGAATTAATGACCGTAACAATAGATATAACCGTTACCATAGATACCTCTATCGGAACGGTTCGGTTGCTAAGTGTCCCGGTAGTTCCAATAATTTTTTGTAACGGTTAAAACCGTAACAATACACCATCTATTGCAACGGTTACTAATCCATAGCAATAAAAAGCGTTGCCATAGCTCCAATTTCTAGTAGTGAATCCAAGAGTAGCCACACACAAGAGTGCAAGAAAAATCTCACAATTTTTATTGATAATAGTTTATAATAATTTAAGTCTAAAAACAAAGAAGAAACCCCCTTTATAGGTAGGAGGGGTCACAAAATTAAGGAAGGCTAAAAAAAATAAGAAAATAAAGTCTTAAACAACTTTGGACAACAAGTCCAACTACCTTATGAAAATAAAAATACTAGGAAGCAAAAACCAAGTCATTCTTGGAAAGTAATTCCAATAATCTTAGGAAAAGAAAAACATAACTTTAACTAACTAGGAAAACAATAAATATAGTCCCAAAATATATGGAAATAAGTCCCAAACCAATCTTGGATAGAATCTTGAAAATCTTAGAAATCATGAAAATCTTGAAGGAAATTTGAAGCAACATGGCACCAACTTGCACTCAACATCTAGCACGCTTATATACCATTTTTGGACATTAAGTAAGTCCTTTTTATGTTATAAAAATGTGGCTTTATATAGGACTTCATGGGTTGTAAGATTGGACATATTTTAGGTGCCAAATTGGTCCAAAAGAGGACTGACCAGGACCTTCTTCAAAGGATGTCTCTTGGGATCCAATCCTCCTCTTCTTGGACATAAATTTGGGCCATAAAACAATTGTAATTCCTAGCCAATTCATATCCTTTATCCTTGAGCTCTTTCTCCTAATTAACAACTTCTTTATTTGTACTTGAAGTCTAATGACCTTGTTTTGCAACTCTTTAGCTTGACATCTTGTTAAAGGCCCTCTTTGAGATTCCAAAGCTTCATCCTTGTCCTTGAATAGATTCGAGCTTCCTACGATGCTATCAGGTGTAGCGTTTTAATTGCTAAATGTTCCTCCATTATATGATGTCTTGTGTGGTGTTGTTGGGGTAGCAAAGTGCTAGGTTGCTCGAGGACGAGCAAGAGCTTAAGTGTAGGGTGGTGATATTTGGCTAAAAATCTGTATTTTTTCATGTAAATTGCCTTGTATTATACCTCGACCTTGTTAAATGTAGTGCGAATATTAGTAACTCAAGCTTAATCATGGTGTTTTTATGTGTAGGGCTCAATCAGAGGTGATGTGGAAGAATTGTGCATAAATTAAAGCTAAAATAGAAGAATTTAAAGGAGTATGATTTTTTTGGCATCCAGGTTTGAGTCAGGCATAGGTCAAAACGCAAAAGACAACACTACATAGAGTTGGGCGCCCAGCTTTGCGCCGGGTGCGATTCAAAACACCGAAGCTGGAAACATTTCCTTTTTCGGCTAGGACTTGGTAGTTTCGATCCTAAACGCCCTCAACATCAATAAAAAGAGTTCTAAACCTATTTTTTAAAGGGAAACATTAATGGAGAGGCAAGAAGGCTACGGGAATACTTGGAAGCAAAGAATCACAAGAGCTTTCTCTCCGTTCTTCCTTAATATGTATTTGAATGCTTTCAAATATTATCATGATTGTTAGCATGACTATGAGTAGCGAAATTTCTTTCTAGGATTTTGATGGAACCTTTTGTAAAATGAATTCTTGTTACGTTTTAATTTAATTTAGCATTTGAATTTCTCTACTTGTTTAACTTCATGCTTATTTTAGTTGATTGAATGACCATCAATTGACTGTGCCTATTTATTATGTATTGCTTGGAAAAAAGTACATATTTAGGTGGTTGTTGAATAACGTCACTCTTAATGTATGTGAGGAATCAATACGGTGAGTTTAAAGGTGGGTATATGAATACCAAAGTCTTGACGTGGCCATAGTGAACGATAAGGTAGTGCCAGCTAGCGTATTTCGGGAGTGTCTAGTAAATTATTGTAGTTGCTCGGGAGAGAATTATGACACCTTAAATGCTCACGATCAGTATAGAATACTTAGGTAAAATTATAGGAGACGTAGCGGGAAAAATTCCAAAAATTGGAAAATTATAACTCTAGTCCTCCTTAATCTTTTTTTCCAGCCCTTCGTATCTTAGTTGATAGTTTTACTACATTAATATTTGTTAGTTGATTAGTTAAAATAAAAATCACAATCTTTATAACTAAAAAATTATTTGAACTTGTGTTTCTTAGCGATATTTAACAGTTGTTGTCAAGCCTTAGTTCTACGTGGGATTCGTCTCCGGACTCTAAGACTTGATTATATTTTTGCAGTGATCGCTTAATCTTTTTAGGACTAGAGTTGGGCGCGATCAATTTGGTGGGGTAGGGGTTGGTGGCTGAGGGGTGGGTGGAGGGCAAATGGGGAGGCGATGGTGTCATCATGCACACCCTAACACAAAAAATGAAAGATAGTGTCATCATGCACTTCACCGAATATCTGAACCCCTTCGAGCAAAAAGATTACGTATTTCATTATTTTCAAATAGGGAAGTTCAATATTTGCAAATAATGATTTGATCATGAACTTCATAATTCGAATTCTGGTAATCAGTATTAACGGCTATTGTGTTTGATAAGTATTTTAAGTCTTCAACTTCTTCTTTCTTCAAGTAAATTTGTATACGATCGAAATAGATTTCGGCCTTCGTACGATTGATCGAGGTCGAAACATAATGAATCGAAGAAAGACTTCGTAATATCAAGATGGGTTCCGAAGATGGTATGAACGAGTTTCAGATTTCAGGTATAGGTCAAACACCGAGTTCGAAGTCATTATCGAGCTCAGGTCCGAATCGAACTATGATGAGATGATTTCGCGGTTAAGGGGCAGAGGCCAACCGATACCGAGCTCGAATCATCACCTGATTCCGAGTCCACATCAAGCTCTAGAAGCAATACCGACCAGCACCAAGGCCGATCGAGCTCGAGCTCACAGACAAAAGCCGTTGCAAATACACTAAGGGAGAGAATCTCGGCGGAAATTAGGGAAACGCTGATTTATCATGGGTTCTCCACTATGTATTTTTAATTATATCTAAAGTAGGATCCTCCACTATAAAGAGGATGGCTACATTTCTGTAGAGAGTAGTTCTTTGGCTTACATTGTAATTCAAGCACCATATTCTCCTATATTCAAGAGTTACTCTTTTAAGCTTCATAAATTGATTCATCTTGCTTAGTCCTAAAAATCATCTTCTTTACAACCTTGTTTATTTTGCATTCTTTGCAATCCATATTTGATATTTTTATTTATCCTTATGATTTGTATTAAGCTATATCATATATCCTTAGAACTACGTACAAATTCAACTCTATCCGTTTTTCCGGTAAACAGTTTGGCGCCCACCATGGGGCTAAGGATAACAGTGGTTATTTGATACGAATCTGCAAAAACACACCGTTTTGCGCTTGTTTCCGAAAGTATCTTGGATTTCGGATTAGCAGCGACTAACTACCAATCAAATGGCCTTACCTATCGACAATGAAGCTGGTCTTCAAGATGAGAACAACAACTTGACACCCAGTACCGAAAGACCACTTGTCAATGCCGTTAGAGCTCGGATCGGAGTGCCGATAGATATCAATTCGCATGTGGCCATTGAGGCGAACCTACATTCGGAACCTGAAAATAGCATTCATGGTGGCACTCGTTCTGCAGCTCAAGACACCCATAACATTGAGGAAAACAGCGTCAGCTTGCGTATGATTTTTGAAATGTTGCAAGCCCAACAGGTAGCAATAGCTCAGTTGCAGAGCCAAACCCAGCTACCAAGCAGGCCGAAGCCCAGTCCACCTCGAGAAATTTCCCACAGAATAGAGCCAGCCATAGTGAGGTCAAATGAGCAAGAATCAGGGACTACTCCCGAAATTGCTAAAATACTTGAGGACCTCACAAAGCGAGTCAAAGCCAACGATAAAAAAGTAGAAACATATAATTCCAGGGTCGATCAGATCCCGGGGGCTCCACCAATGATAAAAGGGTTGAATTCCAAAAAATTCATGCAAAAACCTTTTCCCTCGAGCGCAGTCCCAAAACCAATCCCCAAAAAATTCTGTATGCCCGAAATTCCCAAATATAACGGAACGACCGATCCCAACGAACACGTCACCTCTTACACATGTGCCATCAAGGGCAATGATTTGGAGGACGATGAAATCGAATCTGTGTTGTTAAAAAAATTTGGAGAGACCCTCTCGAAGGGAGAAATGATTTGGTATCACAACTTATCACCGAATTCGATCGGCTCATTTGCCATGTTAGCAGATTCTTTTGTAAAGGCACATGCCTGGGCCATAAAGGTCGCAACGAGGAAATTAGACCTTTTCAAGATAAGACAAAAAGATAACGAGATGCTAAGGGAGTTCGTATCTCATTTTCAAATGGAACGAATGGATCTGCCACCAGTCGCAGATAATTGGGCTGTTCAGGCTTTCACTCAAGGTTTGAACGAACGAAGTTTGACGGCATCACGGCGGCTGAAGCACAACCTGATCGAGTACCCAGCTATCACTTAGGCCGACGTGTACAATCGGTACCAAACAAAAATTAGAGTTGAAGATGATCAGTTGGGGGCTGAACCCGCTGCTCGAAGGGATATCAATCGAGAATAAGTTTCGACCAGGGACCGATACCGACCGTATAATGGAAACCATAGAATCAATGAATCGAGACGTAAACCTGGACAAAGCAACAGAAGAAGTGATCGAGGTCAAGGGTCTCGGGGGCTGACGGACAGAAGTGGGT